GAGCGCGGTTCGCGGAACTTATTTCGAGGAACTTGTTCCTGGAACAATAGTTTTTAGCTGAGCTAAAAACTTATTCCTCCAAAACCAGGAACTTCCCCGTACTCCGAGCTTCTACATATGTTTCTTTTGATGTGAATTTGTTTGTTTTTGTTTTTTACGTCCTTTATATGCGTCTTGACATTTATTTTTGTTACTTTGGCGGCCGTATTATAATCTATTATTTTGCAATAATTGTATAGTTTTATTGAAGTTCCGGTTCCAGTTCGGACGAGCCCGTGTGGACAGCATGCCTCGTTTCAAGGAATAAGTTCCGGGAACTGAGCAAGTTCGAGGAATAAGTTCCGCGAACTGCGCTCGTGTGGACAAGGCCCAAAATCATGGGGAACTCCGTTCCCATGACAAAAAAAATCGAGTGTCAAAACCGCCAAAGATAGAAAAGGCGTAAGCCGCGTTACCAAACTCCCCTCCCGAATCTGGGTGACACCTTACTGGTAGCACAGAACGGAGCAATGCGATATCACGTCCCGCGCCAGGGCGCCTTCACTTATGCAGATGCAACACTAGTCTAGGCGCCTGGTAAGTCTACCTGGAATTTTGGGTACACAGCGATTTTTTTGGCTCACTCTATGTTTTTTAGGTCGCTGAATCCGAATCTGAAGTTTCCTACCGCGTATTAGGTGAGTATTTTCCACCTTTTTGAAGAAATGGCCTAAAAAGGCCTTTTTTGCGGTTTATTTTATACAGCGGCTACACATGAGAAAAAGTCCCGGATTTAGTTAATGTTTTGAATAGCTGACATAATTTGGAAGAAAATGGTATATAATTATGCTAGGATTGCTCAAAAATTGAGGAAGCTCGGATCTCGAAACTTTGGAACGCTTCGGAACTTGGCTGACCGCGGCAAGCCGGATCACGCGTGACGGGTGCGCCGCGAAAACGTGAAAAAGCGCGATGTTCACGATGCTGTATCTTCCTCAATTTTTAAGCAAACCCAGCATATGTATACACCATTTTCATCCAAATTATGTCAACTATTCAAAAACTTATCTACATCCGGGACTTATTCTCATGCGTAGCCTCTATATAAAAAAAAAAAAACGAAAGAAAAGGTCTTTTTAGGCCATTTTTTCAATATGGCGAAAAATGCTCACTAGATACGCGGTAGGAAACTTCAGATTCGGATTCAGCGACCCAAAAAACATAGAGTAAGCAAAAAAAATGGCTGTGTACCCGAAATTCTAGGTAGCCTCATTTTTAGCTACCAGGCGCCTGGACTATTGATATTTTTTCATAGTTTTGACCGCATAGTTAAAATGTGTTTCAGTTAGGATTTGAATTAGCGATCCGGCAGTTTTTATGGGATGATTGAAATAAATAAGCGGGTAGAAATAAAAGGTTTGTGGGATTTCAAATCAACGATTGAATACAGAAAAAAAATGAAGTGAAACTGTTGGTCCCCAGTAGACTTTAGATCCTGGAAAAATTCTTTAAATTCTTTTTTTGACTATTTAAATCTTTTTTTAATTTTTTCTCTCCATTTTTACTTCTTTTTTTAAATTTCTAAAAATTTGCATATTTTATTGAGATAATGCTACAAAGTCTATTCTATAACAACATTCTATAGACAATACGGTCTGACATGTAGTAATAATTAAAAAAATTAAAAACATGAATTTTTCCGGGATCTAAAGTCTACTGGGGACCAACAGTTTCACTTCATTTTTAAGAAGTTTGACAGAGGATCTTAATTTGTCCACTAATTCCCTCATTTTTGACCACTGTGCGATGTAAATTTGTGAAGCTGAACACAATTTCATGCATTGATGACCGATGAGAACATTGTTAGCCATGAAAACTGCAGTAGACCGACAATTTTACTTCCATTTCTAAAAATTTGACAAAGAATCCTGATTTGTCGACGATTTCTCCCCATTTTGGACCACTGTGCGACCAAAATTTTTGAAACTGAACACAGTTAAATGCTTGGGAACCTAATGAGAACATGTACAGCCGAAATTCATCAAAGTTGTAACTTTTTCGTCCATTTTCCCCGTCTTTTTGCTGTAGAAATGCTGTCCAGAATGATGGCGATTTGGCAACTTTGCCCCCTCATTTCTCAAAAACCGTGCGTATACTCAAGCTAAAATTTTTACCAGAGTTTTAGGGTATCATAAGGTATCGTTTGGGCTCGGTTTCAGAAAAATCCCTTCTGGCCCAAATTGTGCCAAAAAACGGTCGTTTTTGGCGTCGCTCTTTAACACAAGGAGATGAGCGCAGAACTGTAGAATTAAGTCGTAAGGTCAATCATTCCATCGTTCTGGTGCGCTTGACTCCAAGCGGTACGAATATCCCGGTCACGAAACTGTCAGTTTAAAAAACGCCTTCAAGTGCGGCGTGATACCTCCCGCATTCCGGAGAGTACGTATAGTTGTATCATTGCGCCTTACAAAAGTGATGAACGGAAGGATAAAATTGAAGTAGCCTCCACGCCTGCGGTGACCGCTTTCCCTTGATATTTTTTCATAGTTTTGACCGCATAGTTAAACTGTGTTTCAGTTAGGAATTGAATTAGCGATCTGACAGTTTTTATGGGACGATTGAAATAAATAAGCGGGTAGAAATAAAAGGTTTGTGGGATTTCAAATCAACGATTGAATACAGAAAATCCAGAAAAAAGGACCTTAAAGCTGAAAAAAAAAGAAATCACAGGCAGGACGTTTTGAAAAAAATACTCGCTTATTCCCGGCAGGAGAAAAAGCTGAAAACGAAAATTTAAAACAAGGAGATGAGCGCAGAATGGACCAGTAGACAAGGTACGAATTTTAGCGTTCTGATACATGTTTTACAACCAAAATTTCTCGTAGAACACGATGCGCACAACGAAAATTATCGAAATCAACTCCTTACGTAGATATTTAATGATTCGTGATACATGAATTCAAACCACCCGCTCATGAAAACTCAATGCTCTACGTGACTCACATCGCGCGCTAAACGTTATTATGACAGTTTCGGCAATATAAAAATCTGGCAACCTCAATCTTGACGCTTTGGCTCAGCTGTAGCAAGTTGTTCATAGTTTGAACAACACATGATGGGAAATGAACATTGCTCGATTGAGAAGCTTGCTGAAACCGTTGTAGTGCACGATTTGACTCATGTAGAGCTTTGAGTTTCTTATGAGCGGGCAGTTCAAATTCCTCGTAACCCATGTGAAATAAAAACGTTAAAATCTTTGTTAGGAGTTGATTTCGGTAATTTTCGTTGCGCGAATCGTGTTTTACGTGAAATTCTGGTCAAGAAACATGTATCAGAATGCCTAAAATCGTACCTTGTCTAGTGGTCCATTGTTGAATTAGGTCGTAAGGTCAATCATTCCATCGTTCTGGTGCGTCTGACTCCAAGCGGTACGACAATCCCGGTCACGAAACTGTCAGTTTAAAAAACGCCTTCAAGTGCGGCGTGATACCTCCCGCATTTCGGAGAGTACGTATAGTTGTATCATTGCGCCTTACAAAAGTGACGGACGGAAGGATAAAATTGAAGTAGCCTCCACGCCTGCGGTGACCGCTTTCCCTTGATATTTTTTCATAGTTTTGACCGCATAGTTAAACTGCTTTCAGTTAGGATTTGAATTAGCGATCCGGCAGTTTTTATAGGATGATTGAAATAAATTAGCGGGTAGAAATTAAAGCCAAAAAAATCGCTGTGTACCCGAAATTCCAGGTAGCCTCATTTTCAGCTATCTGGCGCCTGGACTACACGGACATCCATTACGTACGAATAGTTGTATCTCTGCGCTGTTATCAACGCCCGTCCTTTTCTCGCTCTATACCCATCTTGTGTTGATTATATTTGTCTTATTCATATCGGTGCTGCTTGCAAGGGTTATGTGAGCAACACTGACGAATATAGGATCTTGTTGTTTTAAGAATCGGCCAGCTTTACAACATGAAGCAAGTAAAGTACATTTCCTCTCCCAGCCTATGAGATCTCTTCAAGGATGAATTCAAGAAAGATTTATAATTGGCTTGTTGCACGCAAGAGATACAGCCCTGAAGTAAAATGGCACGTATGACGTAAATCACGATGGAAACATTAGAAAAGTCTAAAATCTTCTTGTTATGATGCTTCGATGGACGCCATATTTTGTGTTAGAAGGACGTGCGGTATAGGGCATCGATTAGTTCCATTTTTTCAGCTACTCGTCATTTTTCTCCAATTTTGAGATCGCAATTCTGTTGTCAGGATCTTGGACTCCATGCTCACTTTAATTAGGGATAATTTTTTCGAAAAATCGATGTGAGCATAGCGTCCAAAATTGTGGGAAGCAGGTATTCTCTGACAATACACGAGCATGGGGTCCAAAAATTTATTAAGACAATTTTTGTGAAATAAAGACGAAAAAATGTGTTCTCGATAAAAATTGCACATTGCTTAGATTAGGTTAGGTTAGGTTAGGTTAGGTAAGGTTAGGTTAGGTAAGGTTAGGTTAGGTAAGGTTAGATTAGGTTAGGTTAGGTTAGGTTAGGTTAGGTTAGGTTAGGTAAGGTTAGGTCAGGTTAGGTTAGGTTAGGTTAAGTTAGCTCACGTTAGATTCGATAAGCGAATATACGATTTTCTATCATGATGGACTTTAAAACTAAGGGAGGTCTACTTGCTTTTGGACTCCATGCTCAAGCAAAGAAGTGAGAAGTTTAGCGATGAGCATGGAGTCCAAGATTTGGACGAAATGAGCAAGCAAGTATATCAAGGGTGAACATGGAGTCCAATATCTTGGACGCGATGCTACATAATCGAAACTGATCCTAGACGCAGGTAATGTGAAAAAATCTGGTTTTTACCACGCAAATTTCGCACGAAAGGAGATGATTTCAAACAGTTTTAGTGGAGTCATAGCGTAATTTGCGCCATTTCACTCCTAAAAAGTCTATTCATTTACAGCTGTATCTCTCGCCAGCAACATACCCATTTCCGTTTGATTTTTTTTTCCAGTCTGTATGCAGTCACCAGGTGACGAGAAAGGAAGTTCCGGAGGCTCTGAGGAAAAACAATCTTTACTAGAAAAAGAATCGGACACGTCATCAGGGAGTTCAGAAGCGTCCAAACCGAAAAGAGGTCAGCACCTTAACAGCAACCTTCATCGTAACCACATTTCTGAGGGTCTCATAGAAAATCACTCATTCGTGTTTTTATTCGAATCGTACTTAAAACGGTTTTGGAGATTCAGTAACGATATGAAACTGTAATGTCGTAAAAAGAAATCTAACGAGAAAAGGCAATTTGAACGTCCTATGAAAATGTTTCATAAGAATAAATGGATCGCATTTAGCAAAACGGAACCAGTTGCAGTGTTGTAAAAATGTTGCTACTTAATAATTACCTAAAAAATCTCTCGGAATAGCAAATAGTTTTCATCCCCTACTAGAAAATTGTTAATTTTAAAGAAAAAAGGTGTTTAAATTTTAATACAGTACAAATATTAAGTATTTTTTAAAGAAAATTGTAAGTTCCACGATTTTGAAAACATTGTAATCGCGCTGGCTTCTTTTTTGCTAAATGTGATCCATACATATATATGTCATCGACGGTGTAAATCGGCAATCACATAACTCGGTTTGTGACGTCGCACACTTCCTGTCATACTTTATTTCTTGAACGGAAAACTACTCAACGGAAATTCTTTAAAACTGCCGTGATTTTTCTTCTCTGTGCACAGAAAGTTTTGCATAAACTTCAAAGAATGGTGTCAATGTGCTCTCCTTTAAGGAAAAAAAATAGAGAGGCGAAGATTTTCGGATACCGCAAATGAGATATCGACGGTGTAAGTCGACAATCACATACCTCGGGCAGCGACGTCGCACACCTCCTCTCATACTTCATTTTTTAAACGGAAAACTACTCAACAGCAATTCTTTAAAACTGCCGTGATTTTAATTCTCCGTGCGAAAAAAATTCTGCAAAACCTTCAAGGAATGATGTCAATTTCTTCTCCTTTAAAAAAATAACATAGAGGCCGAGATTTTCAGACACCGTAAACGAGTTATGTGATTGCCAACTTACATACTTAGATACTGACTTACCTACTTAGATATGTGATTGCGGACCCACGCTGACGATAGGTAAAAATTACTTTCTTTACTTCAAAAACATTCCCGTTAAGTCAATTTTCTGTCAATTTTTTTAAAAACTTAATGTGATTCGTCAAGCTCAAATAAAGGACGATATCTGAGCATGAGCCTAAAGAATCATTCTAAAACCCAAAAATCTGCAAAATTCAGAGAAATGAAAGCTGAATACGAATAGTGTTTGGAAAAAAACCTCGCATTTGATACAAAAATCGATAGCTGAATCGAATGCGAGGTTTTTTCCAAACACTATTTTGCTCCCATTTCTCCGAATTTTGCCAAGTTTTGGGTTTAGGATGATTCTATAGGCTCATGCGCAGGTATCGTCCTTTTTTTTTCCTAAAAATGTAAAATCTGCTGAGATTTTCGGCCTAATCGATGCGATATATTGCATGCCAGTGTTCGACCACGTCACATGAAATTGACGAATCACTTTAAAACATTTTAAACAATTTTTAGGTGATAGTTGGGCTTGTAATTAACTTTTTCTGTTTTATAGCACAATCTGTGAGGACATTCAGGGTTAAGGATGATTACTGGAAGGATTCTGAGAGGCCTTTGTTGGCAGAAGGCTCATCGGATACAACAGGGAGCACAGGAACACCCCCAAGACCCGGAGGAGGTCAGTTTCTTGAACCCGAAACCTTTAGTGTGACCAAGTCCGTCACGGGGGCCAATGACGTGGCGTGACTGTTAACCCCCCCCCCCCCCCCCCCCCCCCCCCCNGTCCCCCCCACCGGCAGGGGCGGGTGCAGAATTCTGCCGTGCTAAGGAAAAACGCCGTATGAGCCTTCAGGCGTTGCCAAATTGTCTTAGGTGAAACACGAATTTCCTGGTAAACTAATGAATATTTTTCTTCCAATTTTTCAGATAATTTTGTTCGCAATGGACCACTAGACAAGGTACGAATTAAAAGATTCTGATGCATGCTTCTTAACCAAAATTTCACGCAAAACACGATTCGCGCAACGAAAATGACTGAAACCAACTCTTAACGAAGATATTAACGTTTTTATTTCACATTGGTTACAAGGAATTTGAACGGCCCGCACACAAGAAACTCAAGGCTCTACGTGAGTCAAATCGCGCACTACAACGGTTTCAGCAATCTTCTCAATCGAGCAATGTTCATTTCCCACCATGTGTTGTCAAACTGTAAGCAATTTGCTATGGCTGAGCCAAAGCGTCAAGATTGAGGTTGCCAGATGTTTATATCGCAGAGATTGACAAGATAAACGTTTAGCACGCGATGTGAATCACGTAGAGGATTGAGTTTTCATGAGCGGGTGGTTTGAATTCACGCATCAAGAATTAATGAATATCTTCGTAAGGAGTTGATTTCGGTCATTTTCGTTGTGCGCATCGTGTTCTACGTGAAATTTTGGTTAAGAAGCATGCATTAGAATGATGAAATTCGTACCTTGTCTGGTGGTCCATTCTACCAAAAAGGCCTGAATATTTCAAGAAAAAATGTGCATAACTTTCCTAGAAAATGAACATTTTATCGAAAGAAATTTGGCAACTCTCGAATGTTCTTACGGCGTTCTTCCTCAGCACGGCAGCATTGCGAAAGGCGTAATAATTGAGGGAGGAAAAGAAAAAAGGAACAGCACCTTATACTGCCGTGCTAAGGAAGAACGTCGTATGAGCTTTCAGACGTTGCCATATTTCCTTTGACAAAAAGTGAATTTCCTGGGAAAATTATGAATATTTCCCTTCAAATTTTTCAGATAATTACGTTCACAATTCAATCTAAAATGTCTGAAAATATCAAGGTTAAATATGCATAATTTTCTTCAAAAATACATGTTTTATCGGGGGAAATTTGGTAACTCTCGAGTGTTCATACAGCGTTCTTCATCAGGACGGCAGTATAGAAGTAGAGCCCCTTTATACTGAGAGTCAAGACAATGCGAATCCATTTCTGATTGGTTAACCGGATTTTAGGCCTTCACAGTGTCACAAACGGGAATAAAGATTACATTTTCACCAATGGGCCTGTTGCAAACTTTTGCTAGAGCAAAACTAAGAGTTGTTTCTTACAGATAATGCCTCAAAAATCACGATGAGCGCATCGGCAAAGTCTGAAATGCTTTCATAACTTCACAATCTGCGTGAGAAATTTGCGGTTTTTTAAGGTTCCCGCTTCGAAAACGATACTACGGTACAGGTGATCATTTTGTTAGAGGAGTCGCTCCATCGTCGACAATACTTATCATGGCCGACGCCAGTCCGCCAAAACACGTGTGATGGGACGAGATAACACCTGAACAGGATTAAACCAGATAACAATCGGCGTGTTTACGTTCATATTTTCCTCGCCCGCCTTAATTGACCTTGAACTCTCCTCGAATTACGCGAGGAACTGCGCAAGCGTCGGCCATTGCAAAGATTATAATCTGGAATGGACCGAGGAATTTCGGGTTCGACAAGGAACAAACGGAATGAGAGAAGGATCGGAGAAAGGAATTTAAGAATGAGCCGATCAAAGATTACGAAAAACGTTCAATTTGTGTAATCTTTATTCCCGTTTGTGACTCCATGAGGGGTGTTGTCTTGACTCTCAGTATAAAGGGACTCTATATAGAAGTACCGAGGGCGAAATGACTCCTAGTTACGCCATTTGGCCAATGAAGTACTCACACACATAAGGCGCTAACCGCGGCAGTGTCCACCGTGCTGCCGCGCTAAGGAAGAACGCCGTATGAACATTCGAAAGTTGCCGAATTTCCTTCAGTAAAATGTTTATTTTTGAGGAAAGATATGAATATATTTTTCCTTGAAATTTTAAGGGACTTTAGGTGGAATTGCGAACAAAATTATCTGAAAAAATGGAAGGAAAATATTCATAAGTTTACCAGGGAATTCGTGTTTTATCAAAGGAAATTTGACAACGCCTGAAGGTTCATACGGCGTTCTTCCTCAGCACGGCAGCGTGAAAGGCGCTAAAATGTCTCGTATTTATGTTGCTTATTTGATTTCTCAGAACTTATAAAGATTATTCTTCTACTTCCTATTTCTCCTTCTTTCTCTCTTTACCTTTTTCTTTATGTTCCATCTCAATATTTTCTTCCTTAGTTTTCTCCTCCTTGTCATCTTCTTCTTCTTTCTCCCCGTTGTCTTCCGCTTCTCTTTCTTCCAATTATCCTCTCTCCTTTTTTTCTTAAATTCCTCTCTCCTCTTTATCTTCCACTTATTTTACATCACCTCCTTCTGCTTCCACTGCTTCTTCTCCTTCTACTGCTCCTTTTTCTTTTTCTCCCTATTCTTCATCTCCTCTCTCTTTGTCTTCTCCTTCCACCTCCCATTCATTGATCGGGCACGGGGCGCTTTTTATGTTTGCGCGGAGGATAGTTTACCCTCGTGACGGCCCTAAGTGTAACCTTATTTGTTTTTCTGTTTACACAACAACACCAGTATCATGCATGTGTCAGGCTAATAAGAGTCAAATCAGCATTTTGTCAAATGCCGGCACGAATTATATGTATACATCAGTTATTCATCAAAATGCATCTAGTTGAGCACGTTTTTCCGATAATTTCTACAACTTTTAGCATTCAAATGAAATTGAAAAAATCCCCAGTTATACTCCAATCTGACCAAAATCGACATTATACATATAATAAGAATCAAAAAATGTTTCAGTGAGAGAAATTTGATAATAGTACCCATTTCTTCTCCACTCTGATTAGACTAAACAAAACTGTCATAATCATATGCCATTTTCTAAATTTCGAATAATTTGAAATCCGCTCTTAATTTGAAATGAAAAATAATTTTAAGAAAAATATAAGCGCTTTGCGCTAACGCTTACGAATTTATTTTATTTATTGGTGTGAATGTTTTGCCTTTTTGACTGATTAAACGGTCTAAATCGTTTAATATCATTCAAATAAGCCGTAATTGAAGTATAGAAAAATTGTCTAGCACTTTAACTTACAAATTTGACAAAAATATACGAACTGTTAAAAATCAAAGATTTACTCTGAGTGAATAGCCGGCGTGAAAAAAAAAATCCAGCGCGAATTTCGCGCCGCACTCTGACTGAATAGATCAGAGCGTGAATATCACCAACGACGGACGAATCAGTTGAGCTACCTCAAGTAGCGTGAAATAAGAGTTCTCTGATAAGAGCTTTGAATGGCAAAGTGATAACGCACTCGTCTATCACCGCCGCGACACGAGTTCAAAACCATGCTGCGGCAGTTCCGTTTTACATTTGCCCATCAGATTTTCACACCCACCAGGGCGCGAAATTCGCGCCGGATCCACGCACTCATTGTCAGAGTAACAGGTGGGCAAAATAGCAACTGAGTAAGCGTGAATTTTGCGCCGGGATTCTTAACAGTGTACCCATGTATTTTCAAATTTCACTGGTTAAAGTTATCAAAATTCTTTGTCAACGTCAAAATTTCAAAAGAATTGTCTCTTTTTTACTGAGGATATAGAAATTTCGAGTCTAATATTCATAGGCTCTGTAAGCCGAAACTGTCGAATCGGTTTAGAATGGACCACTAGACAAGGTACGAATTTCAACATTCTGATACATGTTTCTTAACCAAAATTTCACGTAAAACACGATGCGCACAACAAAAATTACCTATATCAACTCCTTACGAAGATATTTAATGATTCTTGGTGCGTGCATTTAAACCACCCGCTCATGAAAACTCAATCCTCTACGTGATTCACATCGCGTGCTAAACGTTTATCTTGTCAATCTCTGCGATATAAACATCTGGCAACCTCAATCTTGACGCTTTGGTTCAGCCATAGCAAATTGCTTACAGTTTGAACAACACATGGTGGGAAATGAACATTGCTCGATTGAGAAGATTGCTGAAACCGTTGTAGTGCGCGATTTGACTCACGTAGAGCCTTGAGTTTCTTGTGAGCGGGCAGTTCAAATTCCTTGTAACCAATGTGAAATAAAAACGTTAATATCTTTGTTAGAAGTTGGTTTCAGTAATTTTCGTTGCGCGAATCGTGTTTTGCGTGAAATTTTGGTTAAGAAGCATGCATCAGAATCTTTTAATTCGTACCTTGTCTAGTGGTCCATTGTTTCATTTTCTTGACAGCTCGTCTCAAAAGGCTAGACGCCTTGCCACTAGACCGTCATGAAGGATACCAGAAACTGGGGGAGGAGTCTGATCCCAAATCGCCGAAAAAAGAAACCGTCCCTCCGGAAAAAAGACCCTTATTGTCAGAAGAACCATCCGGAACAACAGGAGTTACAGAAAAACCTCCGAAACCTCCGAAAGGCACAACCGCAGAAGGTAAGCGACCGAAATTTTTAACCTTTTAGTTTTAAAATTTTTAATTTTAATTTGTTCTTCAATTTAGGGGGGGCTGCACCCCCTTGCCGCTTTGTAGCCGAACTCCCCTCCCCCCTCCCCCTCAGGCAAATCGAGCCTGCGTAGGGGAAGCATGTGAGCGAAAGGAGTGGGAAGAAGAGGAAAAACCGGTTTGTGACATGATGAGCTCGATACCCTCAGCAAAAAGTTTTTTTCGCTACACCCTACTCAGCAGGACAAGCTACCCTTACGATTTAAATTAAAGAGTATGATTAGCTCATTGTGTTGTTATGTAGCCTCATTCCTATTGACCTCAACTTCGAGTCCCACGCACGAAGTTTTTTTCTACGTGTACATGATCAAAGAGTCGCTTGCATTCCAACTCTGACTTCGTAATTGGGTGAGTACTCGTAGGTCATAAAAAAAATACCATATTCAAACTTTTTGCTCTTGTTAAAATTACAACACAACAAGAAAGAAGTGCCTGTTTTGAGGAATAAATACGAATGGAGCTAATTTCGGACACCGGGAACTACCCTTGCCATTTAGCACAGCTAAAAAACAAAGCCAAAGCCTTTAATTGGGTCACATTTTGCACTTTGGTACCAATTTTTCTGGCCCATTTTAGAAACAACATACATGCCATTGTTTCTCTATGCAGATATGTTCTTTAATGGGAGAGCCAGAGATAATGGCTCCTTACTGCAAAATGTAATCCAATTGATGCTCAGGGCCGCAGCGCGAACTTTTAGCACCCGGGGCAGAGATGTTGTCGCCCTCCCCCCATCCCCGCCCCATGAGGGAAGGTTGCGAGGGGGAGGGAGAGCTTCTGAGAAAATCTTGAATTATTTTAAGAGATCAGGTTTTTCACATTTTCGTTTTCTCCTGTCGTTTTCCCTTTTCGACCTTTTGGCGCCCCTCCCCTCTCGTTAGCACCTGGGACAACCGTTCCACTCGCCCATAGGACGCCACAGCCCTGTTGATACTATTCAAAAATTAATTGTGCCATTTTTGCAACATTCAAAATGTTTGAAAAATTTTATACCCATAAGTGGACCGAGCTAAGCAGCAAGGAACCCTAACCTACCCTAACCTACCCTAACCTAACCGAACCTAACATATCCTAACCTAACCTAAATATTGCACAAAAAAAGATGAGAGAATTGACAGGTGAGTAGTCATATTAGGAGTCATTTGGACAGCATTCAGCAGAAAGAAACCAAGCTACATCAGCTATTGCCAAATTTATTTGGGCAATTTAATTTTTTACATGAAAACGGTTGTGCCAATTTGTGTGCAAATTTCAGTACCCTTTCTGCATATTACGAAACAAATTCCTTTAAATTTCCGAAGGAATTGGGACAAACGTTCTCTTGTAAAAAATTAAATTGCCCAGTTAAATTTGGCAGAAGCTGTTGTGGCTTGATTTCTTTCTGCTGAATGCGATCCGAATGGCCCTGAATATGAGTGCTCACCTATCATTTCTCTCGTTTTTTTGTGAAATATTTAGATAAGGTTTGGTTGGGTTAGGTTAAGTTGGGTTAGGTTAAGTTTGGTTAGGTAAGGTTAGATTAGATTAGGTTAGGTTAGGTTAGGTTGGTTAGGTTAGGTTAGGTTAGGTTAGTTTGTGTTAGGTTGGGTTAGGTTAGGTTAGGTTAGGTTTTTTGGTGAAATATTTGGTTTAACACGTAAATGTCTCTCCTTTTCCACAGCGGGACTAAAACAAAAAATAAGCAAAGCAGAAGGCTACGAACGACTGGACAAAGGGAAGAGTCTAACATTTACTCCACGGGACCCGATTGTCTTCGGAGTTTTTACGGGAAAAGGTTAGTACGCTTGCACTCCACTTTCCTTTTTGTCCGCTTTGTTTTCTCTTGCCACATGTCCTTACTCTCCTGATGGGTCTGTAGTACACTCAGAAAAAAACTTCAGTCTAATGAACCGAACTTACGGTGTTCAATACTGCCGTGCTGAGGAAGAACGCCGTATGAACATTCGAGAGTTGCCAAATTTCCCCAGATAAAACATGCATTTTTGAAGAAAATTATCCATATATCACCTTGAAATTTTCAGACATTCTAGATTGAATTGTGAACATAATTATTTGAAAAAATTGAAGGGAAATATTCATAATTTTCCCAGGAAATTCACTTTTTATCGAAGGAAATATGGCAACGTCTGACGGCTCATACGGCGTTCTTCCTTAGCACGGCAGAATAGCGGTCGTTTTGTTCGGTTCGTGTAACCGCTCTCCCGATTCTGGGAACCGTATCCTCGGTTCATGCAACCGAGTATTCAAACCGAACAGAACCAATGAAAAAACTCGGCCGTATGAACCGAGGATACGGTTCCCAGAACCGAGAGGGCGGTCGCATGAACCGCGCAATACTGCCGACATTGGACACCGTACATTCGGCTCTTATGATCGAACTTTTTATCACCCTGGTAAAAATTGGCAGTAGAATCTGTGTTCCAAAATACCATAGACCTGAAGCCGGCTGTTAGATTTTCAATAGCTTCTACAGCCGGCTGCACAATTTCTTATAGCCTTTTATAGCCGATGGCGACTAAGGAACAGCCGGGCGATAAAGTGTATGCTAAATGTTACTAATTACGGATGCTAGGACTTAGTGAGTTTTTGGACTACCGCTCTATTTTTGGGCCGTAGTATCTTGATTTATTTTTCGCGGAAAGTTCCGTATGCCTTCAATTTCGTATGATACTGTGCAATACCTCTGGTGTGAAATAGTTGCTTCAACGCCGCACTATGGTCCACAGACTGGATTTAACGGAACTTTATTCGAAAATGCACTGCACCGTTGTAAAAGGTGTTGGATCTTATGTTTTTTGGGTCGCTGATTTCATTTTACATCTTAGTTTAACAAAATATTAACATCCTGACCGAGAAACTTAACCTCAAATGTGATTTCTGGCGCTTTTAAGACTGAAGATTTTTTCCACCCTATTTTGACATGTATAAAAATAATAACAAAAGTGTCTCTCTGTCGAGATCAGACTATTCTCATTTATTTTTAGGCGGTAAATCCGAATATGACCTCCGTTTTGGTCCATCACCCTTAAATTTTCCGGAAAAGCCGATTTTACCCGGAATAATGGACATTTTTGGTGTTTTTGCGACTGTTGACCTCTGCAACATGTAGGTAAAATTTTTTCCAGGTACTAGATAGTACTAGTTCGATGTATTTTGATCTACTGAGTCCGAAAATGACCTTTGTTTTTTCTTATCACCTCTCTTTTTTCCGAAAAAGCGACTTTTTCCCGGGAAAATGAGCAATTTTGACGTATTTTTGCCATAATTGCAATTCATGTTGATAAAGTATACTGGACCCGTGGTAAAGAGATTCTGTCTTGCACATTAAGCTGCTAAATCCGAATATGACATAGGTTTTGGTTTATCACCCTCCAGTTCTCCGATAATGCCGATTTTTCCGCGCCTTTTGAGTAAAACCTTTCCCGGACTCTTGTGTTAAAAATACGGTTTAAAATTGATTTCGATGTTTGATATATCGATTCTTATGTATTTTGACTTGCTAAACCCAAATATGACCTTAGATTTTTCCTATCACCCCTCATTATCCCGGAAAATTCAATTTTCCTCGGAGAACGAGCTTTTTCGGTATTTTTGCGCCAATTTTCCTATATACTATGGAGTTGTAGCGATTTTCCAAGTTCCTCTTTAGGTCTTCTCTGACGTCTTAAGAAACATTCAACCGGAGTTTGACCTCAAATTGCCTCTTACAACCCCCCCCGTTTTCCTCAGAATACGGAAAATCGTCGCAAAAATACCAAAAAAACTCGTTCTCCGAGGAAAATTGAATTTTCCGGGATAATGAGGGGTGATAGGAAAAATCTAAGGTCATATTCGGGTTTAGCAAGTCAAAATACATAAGAATTAATATATCAAACATCGAAATCAATTTTAAACCGTATTTTTTACACACTTAGAGTCCGGGAAAGTTTTTACCCAAAAGGCGCGGAAAAATCGGCATTATCGGAGAACTGGAGGGTGATAAACCAAAACCTATGTCATATTCGGATTTAGCAGCTTAATATACATGACAGAATCTCTTTATCACGGGTCCAGTATAATTTATCAACATGAATTGCAATTATGACAAAAATACGTCAAAATTGCTCATTTTCCCTGGAAAAAGTCGCTTTTTCGGAAAAGTGAGAGGTGATAAGAGAAAACAAAGGTCATTTTCGGACTCAGTAGATCAAAATACACTGGAATACTTTTATTTTGTACCTAGAAAAAATTTAACAGTCGCAAAAACGCCAAAAATGCATGGAATATTCCACATTTTGATGTACGGAGGTGCACTCCGAAAAAAATTAATTTCGACCGTTAGGCGCAAAAAGGCGCAATTTAAATTGGCATCATTTTAAAGTCAAGGATATGTTGAACAAGATTTTTCAATCCGCAAAGCATTAACTAGAATTAAAAAAAAGTTAGAGCTTCCTAAAAATTACGAATTTCACTGATTTCTAGCATTTTTTGGTGTATGTTTGGAGCGTTCAAAAGCATACAAATTTCGGTTCAAAATTAATGAAACGGGGTGAAAAGGAAGTCACTTGCCATCAGGTGGATCCATGTTGCCCACAAATTTACATAGATGAGGCGTAACTCGGTAAAATAAACACCCTGTAACGCACCACCGAATGCGGCTCACAATCAGCTAATGAAGACCTACCGCGCGCTCTGTTGTTAGGGTCCGTCACAATCTTATAAATCATTATTAGTCAATGAAAACTTAGGTGACGATCCATGAGAGTATGTATGATAAAACTGTAGTGCCAAACTTTAATTTTTTCCACCCTCAAAATTTGACTAAAGTTCCGTTAAATAGGGTCTGTGGACCATAGTGCGCCGTGGCACGCTGCGGCGCGGCAGGCGGGCAGCCAGCGCGAAAAGCGCAATAGCGCCTACAAACCCAACAGGGATACTTCACGCATTGCGCAATGCGTGAAGTATCCCTGTTAGGTTTGTAGGCGCTAATGCGCGCTTATCGCTGGCAGCACGCCGCTCCGCTCTGTGTTAGGCTCCAATATATAATCTCGCGGAGTCAACGTTTTTCGACTCATGATTTTGAAATGTTTGCACATCCTGTGAGGATTATTCTCATTTTAATTGATGAAAAAAATATGTATTAAAGGAAAATATTATGTGTGTTTTGTAAATATTATGGTGGTTCCGTATCAAACTTAATGATTTCCAATGCACACGAATTTCTACACAATTTCTTACAGCCTTTTATAGCCAATGGCGATAAAGTGTAAAGCCCGGCGATAGGAACTATAGCCCAGCTGTATACTTTTTTATCGCTTCGTATAGCCCGGCTATATGATTTGCTTCGATCTCTACAGCCAGTTGTATGATTTGCTATTGCTTTCTTTAGCCGGCTATAAGAATTCCTATGGTTTTTGAAACGCAGCTCCTATCGCCAATTTTTACCAGGGCAGTGCACGCAAGAGATACAGCCGAAGCCGAATATATACTCTCGATGGGCAACATCTCAGGAAAACCACGTTGGGAACGTCAAAAAAGTCGGAAAGCCATTCCCAAGTACGCAATCTGCGTAGTTTGTAACACGCTTTTTCAAGTTCCCCGCGTCTGCGGGAAGTTTTTCTCAGCCACCGCCGGCCAGCTAGGTTTGCACAGACAGGAGTCAAAAGTTCTCGCAGGATATACCTCTGCAGTCTGGCAGTTTATCCCTGGATCGTACTGTATTTAGATATTGTAAAACGAAGCAGCTGCACAGTTTTGAAAACAAAATGAGATCAAGCTTGTAGCCTTCTGTTATATGCGATCCAATTTAATTTGGATGTAAGTTTTGTTTTGTGTTGTAATAATAAATGCAAAATATTTTTCTGGCACCATTGGCTGTGAAAAAAATGATAAAAAACTCTGAAATTTTGAAGATAAAACTTTTCAAAAACTATTAATAACCAAGTTAGCAGACCATTTTTGTACTTTTTGCGAAAAATTCCTCCTGGCACTTAAAAAAATTTCCATGACTTTATCTTCGTAAAGTTTGAGTAAAAAGTTTACATGCATTTTAACTAAATTTTTAAAACTAAAAATTGTACTGCAATTTTTCAAGAATGTTTAGTTTTCACCAGGCACAGTTTGCAGTGTATGCTGCAGTAATCATCAATATATGAGCATTTATAGAATCGAACACAATTTTGATGTCAATTTGTTTTCATAACTTTTTTCAACGTAGATTTCACATATATTTTAGTACGAAACGAACAAAAAGGGTTACCTAACTCGAACATATGGCGAATTTGTTATTCTTTTTAAAATCCAAATTCAGCAGTGAATGCTACAGATGTGGTTTAACACATTTTTGTTTTATCATTATTGTAGATGGCCATCGTATCACGCGCGAAGAGTGCGGAGCAAAATGCAAGGCCCACTTTGGCGAGATGTATTTGCCGGATCATAACCGTGTTCCATTCGCTCTTCCTTTCATTATAACGGACGAGAAAACGAATGCAGTACGTTGTAACTGTACAATGAATGCCGAGCAAATACGGGATTTGCTTCGACAAACAGAACTAGGTAGAAATTATTATAACTTCCAGAATTTAGCGAAGCAGTCATTCTGTCACGCCAGGGTCTGGCTGTATACGAGGGACTTCCAAAGGATAACTGTGGATATCCCGTATGAGCTGGAATCGAAGAAGCTGAAATCTCCAAAGGAAAGAGCCAAATTTTCTAGATTAGAATCAATATCAGGTCAAGCTCACGTGTCTCCAGATTATTTTCGACGGAAATTTCGAGAAGACGAGGAACGAGCTCGGTTAGGGAGGTTGGAAAAAGAAAAAAAGAAAAAAGCGGAAGCATCTTCGAAGGATCGATCTAAGAAAGGTAAAGAAGTTGCTGAGATCTCGCCGGAAGAAGAGGAGCAATGGAAAGCTCTGGTAGAAAGAAATAAAAACAAAAAAAAGGAAGGAGCTTCGGAGGATCCTGCTGAAAAAGGTAAAGATGTTGCTCAGGTCAACCCAGAGGAAGAAAAAATTATCGTCGGAGCATTTCCGAGGTCTAAGGGTAATTATTCATCATTCTATAATCATATTTATTTCCCTACGATATTCATAACTGTCGATTTGTTGCTTATCTACTACCTGAAGGAGCCCCGTTAATTGAAATTCATGTCTCTATAAAATTCATTTCATTGAGCTGCGGGTTATGTGGATAAATAGTATATTCGAGGATGGTTCCGGCCAGTGGCGTGGCGTGCATTGCGATGTATCGATTGTTACGTCATTTGAACCTATGGGAAAGAATCGATGAACACGGTGTTCGCAGCGAACACCCTGTTTATCGATTCTTTCCCATAGGTTTAAATGACATAACAATCGATACATAGCAATTCACGCCACGCCACTGGTTCCGGCGAAGTTTTTAATTGGACGTATTTCTGCCAAACGGAACCACGTGCAATGTCCATTTGTCCATTGACGCATGAACCCTGAGACCCATAAGAGTGTATGCATAACAGGGCTCACGTCATAATGCACATAGTTCCGTTTGGCAGTTAAAATTTAAAATTCTCAGTTGGTTTTTGGCTCAGGCAGTTTAATGTTAAAATTCTCCTCCTGCTCGAAAATGATCCCTGTTGTGCAGCAAGCTCCTCGCCAGGTGGAACGCCTCTCAAACAAGCAAAATCAAAATAGGGCGCTCGACGGACAGCGCTTGTGTCGAACAAGAACATTAGCGAGATGCGTTTTGCGATGACTCGAATGATCTGACATTTGAAACTAAGGAAATCATCGATTTTCAGGAACTCGAAAACGGAGACATTAATAATCAATTCTTTGCCATAGCTTTAAGTGGGAAAATATCGATTGCCGATAACTCACGCTTCGCCCGTGGACAAAAATATAGCTTGCGATTCAGTTAATTTTGACTTTTCCGTAATTTTACTGCTCTTAAGTTTTGATGAAAGTTGTCGAGAATGCCTCAACATTCACTGTGTACAGTGCAATCATTCATTAGAGCCTCTCTTACAGCGCTTACAGCAACACCTGGCCGCCGCATAGCACCCTATATGGATCGCATTTAGCAAAAAGGAACCAGCGCAATTACAGTGTTGTTATATTGTTACTCTTTCATATTTATCTGAAAAATCACAAAAAATAGTAAACAGTTTTTGCATACCACAAAAAAATTGGTAATTTTAAAGGGAAATAATTGCGTGAATTTTAATGCTGCACATATATCCAGTATTTTTTAAAAGAAAAAAGTAATTTGCACGATTTTGAAAAAACCGTAATCACGCTGGTTCCTTCTTGCTAAATGCGATCCGTATCTTATTCCCATACTCTCCCTGTGAGTTGGCCCTCCTTTATTGTTGTAAAAACCTCTTCCGCCATCCTTTTAGTGGGAGTCCCACTGAATATATTCATAATCTTAAATAACTTTTCATATGCTTCTTAACTTCTTTTGGGGAGCAAAATAAAAAAGTAATGCCATTTGCGACACAATGAGCGAATTTTCGCGATTGAATATCATTCAACCGTGAATGATATTGCGTTGACGGTTGAAATTGCATTGACGATTGTGCATTTTTTTTCAATGATATTCGACTTCTTCGTTGGTCTCACCAGAGACCGTTGAAATCCATCAATTTGAAATTTCGAATTCACCTCGGGACTTGAATTCAATTTTTGAATTGATGCAATCGATGTCAGAAACTTCATCTCTCACCAAAATGTTTGTTCTGTCATCTCTATCTGTTGTGTTTCGTCAATTCAAGTCTGGTGTTTTCGCAATTTCTGTGTTTTAGTGATTCGTGTTTTCTTATTTTCTTCTTAATTTCATTTAGGAAAAAAATTTGAGCTCTGATTGGCTCCTGACATCACCGATCATCGGCATCACTCAGCACTGATCAATTCGTTTGATGAATGACATTCGATCGCGAAAATTCGCTTATTGGATTGTGAACAATTGAAAAACAAGACGATGGTTCCAACGTTAAGACGTTGGAGAGCGTTCACCGTTGTAGCACCTCGTCAATATGTAAAAGTGGTTTTTCGCGGACGGAAGAGAGCGCTGCAAGACGCTTTTGAACTAAACGTGGAGCGTAACCTAGGAAACATACATAGATACAAGAAATGTCTTGATGTCTTGTCATCATAGAGTAAAATATAAGGGTTATTAGTGAAGGGGTACGGGGATCTCCGACGACTAAAAATTTGAACGATCCTCGAAAGAGTACATTGCAGAGTTTTAAAACGTAAAGATATTAATTTCTCAAAGACCAGCCCACAGGCATCACATAAAGTGGACAAAATAAGAGAAAAGAGGTAGAAATGGTGCATAAAAAAAAAAATTGAGAAAATAGGTATTGCTTCCCGGCACGAAAAATGGCGCAGATTCCCATGGAGCAGTGCGAGCCTCTACCAATGGAAACATTAGTAACATACCCGCTGCAAAACGACCGGAAAGAGCGTACACTACTAACGTGGCAAACGCTAAAAAAATTCGGCACAGTAATAAAGCGTTCAATCTACTAAAAAAGTGTCACTTTTTTCACCTGTTCGATGTCCTCAGGGCAACCAAAACTGACAATTTTTTCATCACGGTCGTTATCTAAAACAAAATTGCTTTCCTCTCTAATTGCACGTACGCTCCGATCGAAGTCAATGCGCGCTTGCCACATTGTCTATTTCTGATGAGTAGATTTATTCGCCGTGGAAGACTCCGCGCACTGAAAAAAAATTCTCGGCGTTTTTACCAAGGTCTGTTGGTACCTTTACCATCTCACTTTTTGACCAATTATTGGTAATTTTACCAAGACAGACTGGTAATCTTACCTAGACACCGGTATTTTTACTGTGTTTCTCAGGTAAGAATACCACTATTATTGGTAATCAATTCCCGGTAACTTCGCCATTTTATCTCTGTGGGTCTACCACAGTCGATAAGAAATATTGGCGTTTTTACCGGGGTCCAGTAAAATTACCGAGAAAGTCGATAATTTTACCGAGATTTCTCGGTAAAATTACCAATTCCATGAATGGTAATTTTACCAAGAAAAAACTGGGATCAAATAGAACCCTGAATTCTTGGCAATTTTACCCTTTTCTTAGTAAATACACAGAAATTTTTTTTTCAGTGCGGAACTTTGAAAACATGACCCTGTCATCATGGGTGGCGGAGGCCACCTCTGGACAATTCTGTTAACATGACCATACCATACTAACTGCTTGGCCATGACGCACACTTTGGTCTATACAATGTATCCCCCTCATGAATACCCCATGTATTTGTTGCGGGTAAATGCCAAAAGCTGGGCACATTGCGATCTGCCCGGGCAAATCCCGGATTCTAAGTTCATCTCGGGATCGGCCCAAAATCTCGTGGGCGCATCGCAATCTGCCCGGGCTAAGCGCGATTTGCCCAGGCAGATTGAGATGTGCCCTGCTTTCGGATTTTGCCCGTAACATATTCCCTGTATGACCCTTGAAAATTCCGGAGATTCTATCATGATTCTCTATATTTCCATTCATTGTTTTCAGACAAAGGGTTCACGGATGAGAGTTGCAAAGCGACTTGCCAAGAGTTTTTCGGCGAGATCGAGTTAACCATCGGATTTCGTACTAGCTTCACGAAACCGGAAATATTAGAGAACGGGAACACCTGCAGTTGTTTCGTGAATCCGAGGTTGTCGTGGTGGGCTGAAGTAACGAAGTTCAGCCTGGAATTCCTCGAAAAATTCAGGCATTTCTACTGTTTCGGGCAGATCGAGTTCGAAAACTATGACATTTTCCTTCAATATGAAATGGATGCACATCCAAACAGGAAGTCGAAAAGATCTAAAGTAGATATAGACGCGTATAACAGGGAAGTAGCGGAGAGAAGAAACAGAGCACTTCAAATAATGAGAGCACGTCCGCAAAAAGATAAGCCGCAACCCAAGAAAACTGCGGGGGCGGCAGAACCCCCGACATTTCTTCTGGGCACAATACAGAGAAGTAACTATATTTTTCCAAATTTTCTGCTTTGTTCACAAATACTTTCAAAATGCACTCTTTTCCTTCTTCTCTACCCTAGTAGCATTTACTACTCAATGTGGCTGATTTTTCTTTGAAAATAATCAGTTTGTGTGTTTCTTTGATTTGTTGCAACACTGAAAAAAAATTCTCGGCGTTTTAACCAAGGTCTGTTAGTACCTTTACCATCTCTCTTTTTTTACCAATTATTGATAATTTTACCAAGACAGACTGGTAAGCTTACCCAAAAACCGGTATTTCTTCTGTTTTTTTCAGGTAAGAATACCACTTTTATTGGTAATCGATTCCCGGTAACTTTGCCATTTTATCTCGGTAATTCTACCACAGTCGATAAAAAAAAATGGCGTTTTTACCAAGGTCCAGTAAAATTACCGAGAAAGTTCAATAATTTTACCGAGATTTCTCGTCTCGGTAAAATTACCAATTCCATAATTGGTAATTTTACCAAGAAAAAACTGGGATCAAATAGAACCCTGAATTCTTGGTAGTTTTACCCTTTTCTTAGTACATACACCGAGATTTTTTTTTTCAATGAACATTGGCAGAAACTGTAAGTTGGCAAAATTGATATCTTTTAATTTTAACCCATAGAAATGAATCGATTTTCGCAGGAGCCAGGTGCCCCGACATAAATCGATTATTCAACACAGCTTTGTGAAGGAAAAACAGCGTTGCCAACCTGCTAGGTTCTGCTCTTTTAGTAGTAGCTCTTTAGAGTACGTAGGCGGCGCATGCCCAGCGGCGTGGCGTGCTTTATGATACATCGATAGATCTGTCATTCAAACCCATGGAAAAGAAACGATTAACAAGGTGTTTGCAACGAACACCTTACTAATCGATTCTTTACCATGACTTCCAATGGGTAAATATCGATGTTCGATTATTCGCGCCTCCCTAGTGGCATGCACAATACGAGCAGCTTAGACAGTTTTCGATAACTGTTCGATGTATCGTTTGGTTCAAAACAATAGAACATAACCTCAAACCAAACTGTAAGGATTTAAGTTGGAAAAGCTGAAAATGAGAAATTTCCTGACAATTTCACTTTGCATTGGCATTTGGTACTCAGAAAAATATAAAATCAGTTGCAAAAGACCCGTTCTTTCAAATTTCTGAATTTACTTTTGAGGCTATGTTTATGTTTTGAACCAATCGATATCGATACAATCGCACCTTTTTGATGTATCGAATACGATCTATTGAATCAACTCCCACTCGTCGCCCTAAAAAGAATGTTTAAGTTACTGCAGTTCCACTAATGAGTTCAATTTAGAGATAATTGATGTAACCGCTGTGTTTTTAGCAAAATTTTATTGAGACAATATGAATAACATTTTTGTATCATATTTTCAAATCCTCTCATGGTTCGCTGTAGAGTCCCTTTATACTAAGAATTAATTTTAATCAGTTTCTAATTTGTTCCCATATTTTAGACCTCCACAGTGTCACAAACGGGAATAAAGATTACATTTTCACCAAATTGCAATGCATATAATCAGGAATAGATCGGGGAATTACGGGTTCGGCAAAGAGCAAACGGAATGAGAGAAGGAACGGAGAAAGGAACTTGAGAATGAACCAATCGCAGATTACGAAAACTTTCAATTTGTGTAATCTTGATTTCCGTTTGTGATTCCATGAGGGGGGGGGGGGTTGTCTTTACTCTCGGTATAAAGGGACTCCAGTTCGCCGTAACGTTGAAAAATTTGAAATGTGCCTGCAGACCAGTGGCAATTTTGCAAGGTGGCAACACTGTTTTACCCCTATTTAAATCCATTAAAAATATCGATTTTAGGTGAGTTGCCTCACCAAGAATCGATTGTTTTGCATACAGTTAAATGGAAAAAAGCAGTTATGCCAGTTTTCAAGAACTCTCACTGCTGTAGACAAGGTATGAATTAAAGCACCGTGCCTCATATTTTCTTTTCAACAGTTCACGAGAAAACCGTTACTGGAAAATTAACGACTGTACAAAATATTTATGTTCACGTTTGACAAAAGTGAAATAAGAAAAGTACCAATAATGCCATTCGTATTATCTATCTCCCATCTAATCTGGGTTAATAATGCTCGTCAATATCTCGTTCCGAAATTACTTCTTTGGAACTCGAACCTCCCATTGGGTGTAATTCGTATTACGCGTACAATTTTGATGGAAAAACGTGTGCGTTTCCTAATGGTTCAAACCTTGTCAAGTGACCGAATCTCCCTCATCAGTGAATATAACAATTTTCTATGTTTTTGCTGGGTTCTTCATAAAATGTTTATGAAATCATCACTTGTTTGGAATTTTATTTCTAATTCCATAGTCCACTGTAATAACGATGAAGAAATGTGGAGTTTACATTGCCATCCTATTTTTCTCCCTGGTGAAGAATCATTTCTCGTAACCTGTTCAAGCACTTCTGGTAGATGTTGACCTCATAATGTTCCAATTTCCTTTCCAGGTTCATGGAAGAACAAGTTATCAACACTTACGCCTGAAAAATGCCAGAAGAAATGCAATGAGAGGTTTGGGTATATTCTCCAGGAGCCTCCAAAAGCTGAAAGCTCCCCTGTAGGCATTCCTCCAGGTAATCCAAACTTGCCCCCAAACGCTCCTCAAAAATCTCCCCAAACACCTCCTCAAAACGTCCCTCCAGAAGTTTCTCAAAACCTTGATCGGATACCGTTTACCACGGCAAAAGTATCAGATGATAAGAGTGAATGTAAATGCTACTTCAATAGAGGTCAAATTCTTCCATACCTTAAAACGAGAATTAAAAATTATGCGAGTTGGGAATCAATATTCCTTTTTTACCTCTCAGGTAAACCCTTCGGATACGACGACGGAGTGACTCATTTAAAGGCAGAACAAATTAAAGTCGTGAATGAGAATGGTTCAGAGAAAATCGTGCACAACCGGTTCGACAAGTCGGAAAAAAATCCACCTGAAACCAAACCCACAAAACCCAACTAACCAAATCCCATTTGAACGTACAGCTCAGCGAAAAGTGAGGGAATAATCTCTTAGTTGAAAACATTTGAGTTTCTAGTCAGGAAATGCACGCCAGGGGTCAAAATTGACGCGCATCTCTTTCAGTGGAGGAATCAATGAATGCGATGTGTAACTCCTGTTGTCACACATAAAATAAGATTATCACACATTCCACGAAAAACCGTTACAGCTCCTTCGCAGCTCTCCTCGACTGGAGAGCATGGCGGTCGCCCATGTTTCAAATCAAAACAAACACTAACTACACGATAATATTATTCAGAAAACGCCCCTAACACTGCAAATGAAAGAAGAATAAAAACAAACTTCGATTCTACGAAGTGCCGAGGAAATTTTTCTTGAGGTGATTCGATGGACGCCATATTTTGTGTCAGAACGGCATGCGATAAATCGCAACAATTGGGCCCATTTTTTCAGCTACTTGTCATTTTTCTCCAATTTCGAGATCGCAATCCTGATGTCAGGAAAGTAAAGCACTCACTTACCAATTTTAACGAAGAAATTCAACGTAAGAAAGGCGTGGTTTTTCTAGAGAGAAAACATCGCATTCGATACTGATATCGAAACTACACTCGAATGCGATATTTTCTCTCTAAAAAAACCACGCCTTCATTACGTTGAATGTGTTTGTGAAAATTGGTAAGTGAGTGCTTTAGTCTCCTGACAACAGAATTGCGATCTCAAAATTCGAGGAAAATGATTAGTAGCTGAAAAAATAGAGTCAATCGATACGATATATCACACGTCGTCCTGACATAAAATATGGCGTCCATCGAATCACCTTAAGTGGGATGCACGGAAATATCTTTCATCGACTAAGAGATTCCACCATTCAATAATTTTCCTCATCGGTGAGTTGCATGTGAAGGTGGAATAGTCATAACGGATCCGGAGTGGCGGAGTGGCCCAGCCCTGCGTAATGTTACACTTAAGAGGATCCATAAGTCCCGATCTGTACAATATAAAATTTACTGATGCTAAACTTTTTTCAAGTTTTACTGGATGAATTTTTGAAATTGTTGGTTTAATTTATTGACTTTTTTGCCTTCAGACAAGAGAGTATTCGTTAAATTTAAATTTTCTTCAGTTTTTTTTTTTGTTTTTAAATTACTCAAAGGGCCGTCCAGACTTGTTTTTCCCCTCGAAGAGTAATCAGAGAAAAACATCTCGTTTGTAGTTGGAGAGGAAAGGAAGAGGATATAGGGTTTTAAAAATCCATCGTGTAAATCTTGAGAAACTCACCTTAAGATTTAAAAACTTTGTGTTGAGAAAAACCTGTTTAAAGTTTCGGATATACACAGAAAGTCATTCATGGGAGTGGCTAATTACATGACATGATTCAATAATACTGCTGAGAATGTTAAAAAGTTGATTTAAAAAAAAAAAAAAACCGAAAAACATTTATTGACCAAAAATGACCCATGACTTCCCTTCTTAAGATCTCTCTCAACTCTTTTTTCAACTTTAAACTGAATGTAAAACCAATGTCCACCCGTACAATTGCTGCAGAATACAGGAGGTTTTTAGATTTGTTCAAATGCGTTTCATTATTTTTAACCTAACAAGCAAAATAGGTCGTTCGAAATTCTAACTAAACTAAATAGTAAAAAAAGGGGAAAAAATAGTTAGATTGTCTGAGCCAAATTTTCGGCATTTCATATAGATTGGGTTTATTAAATCGAAAGTTCGATCCCTGTCGTCGAACCTCCTTTATTAGTTCAATCCAATCGAAGATCGAGTTTTCGATCTCACGAACCCTACATTCAATTCAATCCAGCGAACAGAACGTTAGGTCCTGCAAACCGAATATGCGATTTTACAAATCGAGCGTGCGATCCTATCAATGGCGTTGCGTGAATTGCGATGTATCGATTGTTATGCCATTTAAACCTATGGCAAAGAATCTATTATGAAGGTGCTCGCTGAGAACACCCTGTTTATCGATCCTTTTTCATAAGTTTAAATGGCAAAACAATCGATAAAAGGCAATTCACGCCACGCAATTGGATCCTACAAACCGAACGTGTGATCCTATGGGCCGAAATAGTCATTATACCGTATAAAAATCAATCGATAGGTTGAGAATTTTCGTTTCCCAAATACAGATAATAAAACAAACACGCTTTACCGTCGAAGTTCTCAACATTGTTTTAATTTGTTCTTTTAAGTATTTTTACATCCTTTAAGGAATGTTTCAGGAAGAAGGAAAGGAGGAGGAGGTGTTCCAGGAGGTTATGTGTAAGGAATGTTGACGATGAAAGAAATATTGAATTGCTCATTAGTTTTACCGTTAAAAATTTGAGACGTTTGGCAAGTAGTGCCTTAGCATAAATTGGCTCTTATGATAATTTGGCCGGAGGGTGAAGACTGAAAATTGCTTTTAAAGAGGATCACCATGCTCGGACTGGCCCGAAACGCTAGCGGCTGAACGTCCTCTACCAAAGAGGTCCCTTTTGGCAGAATTCAGAGAAATCATTCGAGCACTTCCCAAATCGTTAGAAATATTGAAGTAAACTGCCGAGCACAATTCACACCATCAGTATGAGAATATTTTTACTTTCTCGCGCCCCTAGGGTAGAGAGGAAGTATTGTCATCCTCCAAGAAAAAAAAAAAAGGTGGAAATTTCATCATTTCTAGACGTTTTAAGGTCTCTGGAGTCAAAATAACCATACTTGAAAAAATGTGTGTCCGTCCGTCCGGCGTCCCCCAAATCTGTCTACAGCGATATCTCAGAGTCTATCTGTTCGATTTCATTCAAAATTCTCACAGAACACTATATCTACGGTCTCCTTATGCACGTCAAACGATTTTGGGGTACGCTAAAATTTGGAGGGGCTAGTATAACTCTAGCGATAAGATGGCGATTTCCTCAAACTTCTTATGTTAATAAATTACGTTTAGTAACATATAGGTTCTGTCATGTTGGCGAATGAAATGTTTTTATTTGCAATGAAAAATAACATATTATCATAAATCATTATACATATTTAAATTTATTAACAGTACAAATTAACAGATTTTAAACTCATGAAAATTCGCGTTATTTGTAATACAAAAATAACATTCATTCTATGATAGATATTATGTCTCTTTGGCGACGTTTGGTGGTGGTAAATAATTCAACGTAACAAATAGGTTAAATTTTGCACAACGTCGTTTAGCGTAACGCTCGATAGATGGGTATCAGCTGAACATCAATTCTTGAAAACTTCCGTGATTTTTCCTTTCAGTTTGAGAAAAAATCTGTGAAAACTTCAAGGGATTATATTGGTTTGTTCTCGTTCACAAAAATAAAATGAGAGCGAAAATTTTTACGCACCGCAAACGACAACGAAATACGTAGTCTGGTAGTTTCATCGTCGATATTTGTTTCTTTTTTATTTATTGACGAAGTAATATTAAGTTATGTTGCATTTTTGAATGTTTCAAATGTTATATTTGTTTTCATTCTCTATAATAAAATTTTAAGTTCTTTACCTGTTTAATCTCAATAAAAACGATAATGAAAAATCGGATTCTATTTCTTTTTTCTCCCTCACATTTTGGAATAATATTATTATGGCAACGACTTTCTTTATATTTTGCGCGTGAAATCCATTCAAATAACTCTTTCGCTGAGAATAGATTACGTAAACGGAGGAAAAGGAGCGGTGCTTATATGCTAAAATCACCACTAAAATACACAAGCATCCCCCTTCTGTATGCTTTCTGTAATTAAATTACGTATTTTTTTCTTAAATCTGAGAATTTCAATACATTTCATACTCATGTGCATAGGAAAACAAAAGTGGAAGCAAAGAGACCTGTAAAAGCAGCCCGAAGCGGAAACGACAATCAAAAACACAGGAAAATGCGGAAATGAGGCTAAAATACAAAATACAAAGGCAGGGCGTTCAGGAACCTTACGGCACCATTTTCAACTGCTAAAATAGAATTAAAAACAAGAATGAAATTAAAATAAAAATAAAAAAACCAACAATGGCGTCACATGGTGAAATTGGTATTGGAATGAGACCCGAATAAAACTCATAGTGTATACGTTGTTCCTAAATTGAGTCGAAAATTGCTGTTCCTGGTAATTGCAAAATGGAGTCCAAATATTATCAAAATTATTCTCAAGAACGTTTTATCTATCGACGCAGCACGATTACCAACTTATAAAGTAAAAACAAGAACGCAAAAATACTGCAATTTTAAATTAATCAAAGCTTTCTTTTGCAATGCGAACCGGTTAATCTTTGATACACTCAAATTTTTAGACCCTCATGAACATTATTAGAGAACGCTCAGGCACAGTAACCCGAGGATAAACATCGTTCAGTTTGTACATAGTGGATTGAAAATTTGAACTTTCTATTTGCACTCGGTATTTCAAAAGCGAGCTTCCCAAACCGCGGTGACGGTGCTTACAGCTTACCTGTTGACATGTGCACTACTGCCGGGACCTGCCTTGGGACTTTCAAAAATTACGCGCTCTCTCATGTTCCCACATGTATTTGAAGTTGTAACAACAAGCTAAACAAATACGAAAGTGGGAATAAACACGTCAAAGATCTTTTTTTCAAATGCTCAGTTACCTAACTTGAATGTAAGGTATGAAGAATGATGAGACGTCACGTAATGGGAAAAAAGCCTGGACAATCTGAGTAAATATGCACCACGGAAGGGTACCAAGCGATTATTGAGTTATCAGGAGGAAGATGTAGTTTCATGTCAGGCTGTAAAATGGGCCCATTTTGGAGAGTTCTTATATTCCTCTATGTTGTTGCGTCTGTTTTAGAAAAAGGTAAGCCATTTTAATCAAAGATCCGTGAACGAGAGGTGCATTTTTTATACCTTTCCGCAGGCAGGATTTTACTGGATTAGCCCGCAGACAGTCAAATCCTGTCTGGGACGGGCTGATTGTTGAAGTTGGTGGACAATAGCGGTAGACAAAGACGCCAAAACGAAAATGGTGGGATCCTATCAGTAGAATGGGGTGGTTGCAATAGACAAATGAGGTAGGTATTAGAAAAAATGAAAATATGAAGGAAATATGAAAATATGAAGAAAAAATGAGAAAAAATAAAAATATGAAGAAAAAATGAGAAAAAATAAAAATATGAAGAAAAAATGAGAAAAAATGAAAATATGTTGAAAGGGAACAACATAAATTTGAAAAT